GTGTCATAAAGTAAAGATATGAAGTACTGGCCTATTTTTAATCTTTTATTTCTATACTTAACTCTTAAATCATGCTTGTGTTATTAACGGTTTAGTGTGACTTAGTTATAAACATCATTTATCTTTTCTTACAGCCTTAATCTTTTCTAGTGGGTGTGAACACTGACATGCTTCATAATGTGCTTTTAAGTTTATTTAGTGCACAATGAGATGTTATTTTCTTGTTTGTGTTATAAACATAAGAAAACAACCGTGTATGTGACATAATTTGTCACACCTCACAAGCACAGGTAATAATTACTATTTGGATGCGGAATAGGGCTTACTAGACCACAGCTAAACAAGCTCAGATGTATTAACGATTGAGAAATTGTCTCAAAAATAGTTTGTAGACAAGTATATAGGATTTACACTCATTCACTTAAGCTTTATTGAGAAACGTCATTGGCTTTCTCCATAATCTCTCAAAACAGCTGCATGGATTAGAGTATAATACTGTTTCTCTGTTTTAAATGAATAAGGACCCTGTTTCTATTATTGTAGACCTCAGATCATTGCAGGCTGTCCTTCAGCGGTTTAGGAGGAGGGACGTCTTATTCACCTCAGCAGGAGTTTTAAAAACTGCTTGGCATCTGAGCGCTTTCAATTCAAAGGCAGACGCGTCAGGACTCACACGCCATTGGCTTTTGGAGATTGACTCCAGTGCTATTTAATCACTTATTATTGCACAATATTTTTCTTCAGTGCTCTTTAGGGATTCATTCTCTCTGTAATCTTCTTGATTGAAAGGGTGATCTGGACTAAAGGTCCTGTCCAGGAGGCAAGGCTTTTGGTACACCATCACTTGAGGAAGTGTTAATGTAGGGGAATTACTGTCGTTTTGCCCTTTTATTGGCTTAAACGCAGTTAAATTTCAGTCATGTGATTTAGAAATCATGAGGAAATGGACCAGATTGGCGCATACAAAACAAATTTTTTTTTTTTCCCTATGGAGGCATAGTGGGGGTTGGAATAAAATAAACTGAAATAAAAACATAAATCTATATTAATTTTAATCACGCACAGTTACAGCATTTTTTATTCATCTTCCAAAACTCAGTCCTGCACATATGGAGGAAAACATGCTCTAAAGCAGAGAATGATTTCCTCCATCATCAGTTCTGTGAATATATATTTATATAGAATTTTACTATTTTCTCAAGTATGGAATGAGCTTCCTTTGCCATATATTTTACTTTATTTCAATGATTATATTATAAACTTTAGTGGCATATAAAACGCCAGGTAAACATAGCATAACTTCTTGTTATTGGAACCTCAAGAAATCTGATAACTCGTGCCTGATATCGAATGTGTAGCAATGCTTGCTGTCAGTCCACCTCCTGTATGTGGAAATCAATCCACCAAAGTTCACCATTTCTGCTGTGTCTTGGGCTACAGCAGCCGATGTTTGTTGAGTGGTCTTTGTGTTAGGCTCAGAGTGTTGGTAAATGTTTAGCATAGAATCACTATAGTTCTTTTTCAATTGAATTGCTCGTATAGTAACCACTGCCTCTGCTGTGAACCACCGTGTCAACATATAAGACCAGATTTATACTTTGCACTCGCAGAGCAAAGGCTACACGTGAAACTGGTTCAAAAATGAAACCGCTTCCTTTAGACAGAAAATTCAATTTCATCATAACATCGTCTCGTGTACCAATCTTTCACTTAGTAATGGACCCAACGGCTTGGTACATAAATATTAACAGTGCAGAAATCTGTCTTTTTTTCTGTCAGCATGTGCCAGTGTTGGACTGCAGTATTGCACATGTAGGTTAATCGCAAATACTGCTTACATGATCTCTAATGCTTTGATCCTTGTCAACTGAATAAATAAAAGTACATAAAGTCACTGATTTCAAGTTTCTGTTTCCTAACAAAACAAAATACCAGTTTATTCTCACAGAAAGAAGAACCTAGACACAAAAAAAAAATGTCATGGAGTCATTCGAGGTCATATAAACCTCATTTCAACATCTCAGCAGAACACACAAATGTAAAAGAAACCCATTTTTATAGCACAGATTTATTTACCTTTTAACAGAATTGATAAACATTTACTTCTAGTTACACATACATTCTGGTGTCCGTTAACACAGTGCTGGCAATGTGCCCAAGTATCATTTCATACATAATTACCAAACGATATAGCAATGAATTTGTGTAAACACTCATTATCTGTTTCTACTGCGACGTTTTGTTTCGTTCAAACATGCGTTTTAAACTCAATTACAGACTGCAGTTTTGCATGCCTGCTGAAAACAAGCAACGACTTGCTGCACTATTTGGTACTAAAGCCATTATAGGTTATATTACACATCTGATAATCTATCAGTTACGTTAATGGACACTAAACTCAACTTTTGTCTAAAATAAGTTTTAATAGTTTCAAACATTGCTCATATATCAAACGATATATTTTTAGGAGATTGTCATGCATTTGAAGCCTCAAAGTGCGGTTCGTTTAAAGTTAATGGACATTGAATTTAGAAAGAAACAATCATGTTTGGTATTTTGAAAAATTGGCAATTTGTGGATTCAGTTGTTGAGTGTCTTGAGAGAAGCTTCAGTAGCGGGTAGGAGAGCTTCCCTTCAGATGGTCCCAGTTATTGTAGAAAGCATAGAGTCCAGAAAGCGTCAGCCCAACCAAACCGCCCCGCACTGCGCCCCGCAAACCTCCTGCAACAAAACAAACAGAACTTTAGGAAACCAGTGAAAACAAGAATCGGCAGTTCCTCTAAATTTCTCTCTAGATGAACTTCTCTTCCTTAAGTTGCACTCATCACTCTCACCAAATTGTGTAATAACGCTTAACATCTTTTTTTTTTTTTTTCCAAGTAGCTCCCTATGAAAGTCTCCTCACTTATGAGAATCCAAACCTTACAGCATTAAGGCCCGGGGTCAGCAGAGCTCATTAACATTTCAAGGGAAATGTAACAAAAACGGCTTGATCTGAAAAGAGCTGTTTTTGACAGGGTAAAAAAAAAAGGTGTTTTTACACTACCATTGAGAAATTTTAACCAAACTATGTTACAGACTTTTAATTAAGACCCTAAAGAATAATATCAACTTGTGGAAAATGGCCATCATATGAACCCTTTAAAGCAGCACTATGTAACTTTTGGCGCTCTAGCGGTTAATAAACAGAACTGCACACATTCCGCTGAAGAATATTCCCAACCGGAGCTACTTCTCTAAGTTTATGTCTATGGTGATTCACGCAGGTATGTGTTACTCCGCAGCGGCGACGACCCGACCAGGCTACAATAGTCCAAATATAAGTACTTATTATAAGTGTAGCGTAGTGATTCGGAATAAGACAAAAACGCGGTTTGGAAGATGAATTCATGATGTACTCGCTCATTATATACATTTAGCAAATTTTGAACACAGAAAAAGTTACATAGTTCTGCTTTAAAAATAAAGGTTCCAAAAAGGGGTTTTTGTAGCAAAATAACTTTTAATGTGCGGTGGTTAGCGTGACACAGCACGAAACCAGACTTCTTTTTTTCCTCAATGGAAAGCATATTTACACTGTTTGAATCATTCCCTGTCCCCTATATAGTGCACTACGTGCCATTCACTGTACAGAAAATATTAATTCTGTGGACAAGTGACCGATTTCAGCATCTATTTTATAGTGTATAGGGGGCGGGCGCTTCGGATTCTAGAGAGCATTTGATTGGACAAAGTTTGATGAGAAGCTGAAGCACGATGTGACGTCAAAAAAAATCGTTGAGCCGTTTTGGCGGAAGTGACGAACTGCAAGCTTTGAATGCTTATATCTTCTAAATGCGAATTTTGTCACTGTTTTGGAGCACACTGCCTTATAGATAACCTTAAGACTAACATATTGATACTAACACCTAAAAAACTTTCATGGGGACTTTAAAGACTCATTTATTCCATCCAAGGCGTAATTCTCATAGTATAACTTAAACTAGGATAACAGTTTTGATCTAGTCATTGACCTCCAGTGACAGTCTCACAGTTGTCAGTGGCGTAAAACAGATAGAGAGGAGCTTAACTTCAGCCTGACCCGCAACATGGAGAAGAGCGATAGAGCTTTGAGAATCGTGAGGACTCCACACCCACCATGAGTTCAGGCTTGATATGAGCTAGTGAATGTGAGTCAGTGAGAGCCCACCCATCACACAGAGTCCACTGGAATGCTTCAAAATAACAATGCACTGTCTCTCTGGACCTGGACTCTTCCTTGCAGACATCTACAAGGCTGTTTTCTGTTAATATTAAACAGAAATGCCCCAAACACGCAGAACAAAGCAACAGAAAAATGCCAGTACAACATGCTGTAATTGATTTTACAGCACCATTATGATCAATGCACATTTCCTGTGAGCTTGTAAATATGTTTGAATATTCACTAGCCTGTGTGACACACGACTATGAAACATGAGATAACTGAAGTTATGATTGATCTTGTGACCGTCTGAATGGCTTGGGACACACCGACCGAACACAAACTGCATTGATGGCAAAACTCTTATCTGACGCTTAACCCAGCCAAATACTTTTCAGCAGAGTAGGCAATGTGCTGAATCATCGCAATGTCCAGGAACTTCCCTTCTAAGAACTCTGCAGCGAAGAATGATGGGAAATGATTTTGTGGCGTCCTAGTGAAAGACATTTACCCTGATACCGTTGTCTCCTCTAATAAGTCTTCCACAGAAAAGGAAGTACATAACATTGCTGGATCTTCCCCTTCAGTCTGCTGACAAACCTTGCTTCTTAAAGATAACATAATGTGATAAACATATGATCCACCTGGAGATTTGTAGAGGACACCAGTCAGGGTTCCTGCAGCAATCGTGTTGAGGTCGTCCTCTGCCCCTCTGGCTTTCTCTATGATCACCCCAAACGCACTGTACAGCAGAGCTGAACACATACAGTCATAAATCAATACACACATTCAACACAGAGATTAGATGTCTGCATTATTATACGACTTCTAAATGAAAAATACCCTTCTGTTTCAAATGAGCATTGACCTGACTACAAAGATGGATGAGATTCATTTTGAGGGGGAAGGAGTCTGAGTTTGGGCCCCTCACCTAATGAACCCAATGTATTTGCCCATGTGGCACCTTGGCGGGTCACCATATTCAGGATCCTGAATGGGAAAGAAAAATGGAGATTAAGAGTTTAAAACCAAGTCACAATTGACCTAAATCACTAAAGACTTCTGTTCTAAAACATCAAGCTATATACAGAAATTAAGAACAACACAATTAAAATACACAAGTAGGTCTTTTCCGGCTCCATAAAATCACATAAGTCTATTAACAGAAAGGCTAATAAACACATGCATATTTTTGCTTCATTACACATGAATCAGCACCTGGACTTTCAAGGCTGACTCATTCAATAACCAGTCTTTAAGGAAATACATTTTGACAGGGTGATCATAACACTTTTTCACCCAAACATCCTATAAATCGGCGGTGTTGTCTTGCACGAAACAGCAGTAGAGCGGCAGACTTTGGCCCACTCTACTTGTATAACTTGTAAAGAACTGCTTCTGAACACGCTTTAATGCAGCCTTGACCACATGACGCTTTGGGCCACACAGGTGTGTACACACAGATGTATTTGAGCTATTGATTTAAAACAGCTGTCACAACTTATCTTTACTGATAACAAAAAAAAAAAAAACACGAAAAAAAGAAAACCCATTAAAAATAGAAATTAAATGGGGAAAAAATTTACAAAATAGAGTGTTTTTGATTGAAATTGTCAATGTCTAGCAGTGTATTGCTTTTTTTTGTGGATTTATTAATATTAAAGGGAAAAAAACTTTTAAGTAATCAAACTGAATCTTGATGAAAGATGTTGCTCAAATCCTTTATTCACGTCTGTAACAGCTGCAAAAACACAAACATTGTCAGAAGAGGAACCAAGTGTTGTAATATCAGGATCAAATTTGTGTCTTAATCACAAGTCTTGAAATCAGCTTGCAGTTTTTTTAACTGAAGAATAGTATGTTTAGTGGCCACACTCTTTTTAAACTGTAAAAAAGAAATTGCATATATATATATATATATATGGGTAAAAATATTGCCATATCAGCTTCACTTCACAGTCTATTACATTGTAGATACAAGTTTAACATTCAACAAGCATTATAATAAATATAAAGCATATTATAAAATTCTACTTTAAATTGAGACAATTTTTTTTTACTTTTGGCCAACTTTGACTTCATCTCACAATTTTGACTTTGTACCTCATACTTTTGACCTTTCACCTCATTATTATGATGTTAAAAATACATTTTTTTAACACATTTGTATATACAACTCTGTGTAAAAGATTATTTAAATGTAGTTTTGATTTAATATATTTTTCCTGGGTAAATCGTACAAAATAAAGCATCTAAGTTTGCCCTGAAATCATTGTCTCACGACAATAAAAACTGTCCTAACATTTGTTTTATAAATATGTTAGTACTACAATACAAATTTTTGGCCTATACAACACCTTGTAAACAATTTGGTCATGTCTGGATTTAAAAGGGTACACGCATCTTTTTCCCAACAGGATTGATTTCATATAATTTCTTGTTCTTTCCATTTCTCTTATATATACTGGCAGATTGAGGGTTAGAGCAGGGGTGCCCAAACTCGGTCCTGGAGGGCCGGTGTCCTGCAGAGTTTAGCTCCAGCTTGCCTCAACACACCTGCCTGGAAGTTTCTAGTATGCCTAGTAAGACCTTGATTAGCTGCTTCAGGTGTGTTTGATTAGGGTTGGAGCTAAACTCTGCAGGACACCGGCCCTCCAGGACCGAGTTTGGGCACCCCTGGGTTAAAGGTTCCAAAGGTGGGATTTGGCATTCACTGAAACAATAGCTTTTTTTCTCTTGTTCTGTTTTCTGTTTTCTTCTCCAATTTGTGACGTCACAACCAGTATGAAACCACCCAACTGTCCGCAACCCAATTTAAATTCAAAGGAAAGATGCACATGACTCTGGTTTTAGTGGAATGTGATGCATCACCACAAACCAAAGGAAACATGAGACTGTAATGCTCAGTTTGGTTTATCTGCCTATTCATGACTCGTGCTCCACTGACATCACGGAATAACCCTACTGTATGTTACCTGACCCCACCTTTACCAGGAAATTCACTTCTGCTGTTTCTGTTCCTATGAGAGGTATGGTGCACACTGTGGTGAACACTGCTCTCTGCTGGTTAACTGTTTATGAGTTACGAGTGCATGCAAGTGTAGAAAGATGTGAAAGAATGAAGTAATACAAACCATCAATGCAGCGGAAATTCCTGTTTAACCTATCTGTGAAATGTCATTAAAGAGATACTGTGGAAGCCCATTTCCGCAAGAGATGGAAAAACATGCTTTAGTAAATCATAATTATGACAGTCAGAATGCCAAATGTTGGAGTTATGAGATACTAAACTGAGAAAAATTCAAAATTATGAGATAAAGAGAAAAAAAAACGGCAAAATTATGACAAAAAGCTGAAATTGAGAGAAATTATGAAATTTAACTTTTTATGTCATAATGGCTTCATCTCATAATTTCAGGACATTCCTGTAAAAGTGGGCATTTCCTGTTTAGTGAGGGTTTCTCTTTGTTAAAAAACAAATGAAAAAATGACTTTATATCTCATCATTTTTTAAATTTTCTCTTATTATTATATCTTAAAAATCAACATTATGAGATACTAAGTCATAATCGTGAAATAAAAAGTTGAAATTGTGACTTTTCATCATAATTATGAGATACATGACACAAATAACTATGACTTACTAAAGCATGATTTTATGTCTTATGTGCCAGTCCATATGCAGATAGTTTATCATAACAAACTGCTTTCATAACTACATCTACAGTACTCACTGTACATTGCGAGGTTTGGACCAAGCCATGTTTCTGGTTTCAGACAAGCCCATTCTAAGTCCATTTACAGCCCCAAAAACAGCACCTGTATGAGTTGTAATATTTTAGAAAATGTGAATTGCAAAAACATCATTCATATGAATTACAAACACATTCATTTAAAAGCAAACACTGAGACTGTATGACGCAGGAGAAGCTATGTGTGAGGAAGAAGAGATAAGATACCTGTGATACAACATCCGCCAATAGTAAAAAAGGCCAGTTCAAAGCGTCCTCTCGTTTTGTTTGCTCCAGTGGGTAAAATAAACTCATCTGTATTCTGTGAGCACGTGATCATGACAGACATCCATTAAATCTCATATATTACAAACAAATCAAGGTAGCTATGGGGCATCTAAAACCACAGATCTCACCTGTATGAGATACCTGGGGTCCACATTAAGGTATGGAGAGAGAGGACTCATGCCTGTCACTGTTAAGAAAAACAGCTTTAGTAAGCGACTGAATCATATGCACATTAGTAATATACAGCGCATTACAAGTAACGCGAGTTACGTAATCAGATTACTTTTTTCAAGTAACTAGTAAAGTAACGCATTACTTTTAAAAGTAACTTTCCCCAACACTGGTTATATAGTATATGGACTTACATGGCACTCCAGCGAGCTCAGTCTTTGAATACTGAGGGCCAGCAGATCCAAACACACCGAAGCCTCCTGCACTTCTTGAGCCTGGGCTAGAGGGTCCTGATGGCTCCTTATCCATGTCTAGGTGAGGTTCGTGCACCTTTGTACTCAGTTAAACATTTAAAGATATGCCTAACTTGTAGGAATAGCTTTGCGCACTAGTGTTAGCCAACAAAGATCGGACAAACAAATGTAATCTGTATAAATGTCAGCATGAGCCCTCAGGGTGTTCTCCAAATATCAAAATGATTCCTTTAAGCGGTTTTAAATATCAGAACGATTCTACGGAATGTTCTCTAATGACGGAATGATTCTTCAGAACGTTATTTTAAATGTCAGAGTGAGTCTTGAAACCAGTGGTTCCCAACCCTGGTCCTGGAGGCACCCCAACACTGCACATTTTGCATGTCTCCTTTCTCTGACACACCAGTTTCAGGTCTTGGAGGCTCTACTAATGAGCTGATGACCTGAATCAGGTGTGTTTGATTAAGGAGACGTGCAAAACATGCAGTGTTGGGGTGCCTCAAGGACCAGGGTTGGGAACCACTGCTTTAAATGTCAGCATGAGCCCTCAGGGTGTTCTCCAAATATCAAAATGATTCCTTTAAGCGGTTTTAAATATCAGAACGATTCTACGGAATGTTCTCTAATGACGGAATGATTCTTCAGAACGTTATTTTAAATGTCAGAGTGAGTCTTGAAACCAGTGGTTCCCAACCCTGGTCCTGGAGGCACCCCAACACTGCACATTTTGCATGTCTCCTTTCTCTGACACACCAGTTTCAGGTCTTGGAGGCTCTATTAATGAGCTGATGACCTGAATCAGGTGTGTTTGATTAAAGAGACATGCAAAACGTGCAATGTTGGGGTGCCTCAAGGACCAGGGTTGGGAAACACTGTAATAGAGTGTGGCAGAATGATTCTTCAGAACATGCTGTACCTAAATGTCGGTGTAGAACCTTTTCTAAATGTAAGAACGTTCTTGTTTGGATCTCATAAATGTCAATCGTGGAAAAGTCTGCTTGATGGTTGTTAATGGTGTAGATATATTCAGGGTTCATTATGCTGTAGTCATGCATATAAGCCTAAAAACCAAAAAAAAAAAAAAAAAACCAAGCCAAGGAAAAAAAAATATCTTGCATCATATAGATCAGTGGTTCCCAACCCTGGTCCTTGAGGCACCCCAACACTGCACGTTTTGCATGTCTCCTTAATCAAACACACTTGATTCAGGTCATCAGCTGAGCATCAGTAGAGCCTCCAAGACCTGAAACTGGTGCGTCAGAGAAAGGAGACATGCAAAATGTGCAGTGTTGGTGTGCCTCCAGGAACTGGGCTGGGAACCACTGGTTTAAAGAATCACTCTGACATTTAAAATAACGTTCCGAAGAATCATTCCGTCATTAGAGAACATTCCGTAGAATCGTTCTGATATTTAAAAACGCTTAAAGGAATCATTTTGATATTTGGAGAACACCCTGAGGGCTCATGCTGACATTTAAAGCAGTGGTTCCCAACCCTGGTCCTTGAGGCACCCCAACACTGCACGTTTTGCACGTCTCCTTAATCAAACACACCTGATTCAGGTCATCAGCTCATTAGTAGAGCCTCCAAGACCTGAAACTGGTGTGTCAGAGAAAGGAGACATGCAAAATGTGCAGTGTTGGGGTGCCTCCAGGACCAGGGTTGGGAACCACTGGTATAGATCATGAGTCTCCAGCATAAATTGTGTTTTCAATGGCCTAAGATTAATGCAATGCTGTCAAGCATATGCATGTAGTAATATTATCCCATGACCTTAAAAAACAAAAATATTTTACTCAAAATAAAAAACTTTTATTAACCGATATAGATTTAAAAAAAAACAACAACAACACATTTACAAGTCTTGACACAAGGGGTGGATACATTTCTATTAATCTGTGGAGCAGACTAATTATCAGACAATAACCTAAAAAAACAGCCGAATATTGGCAGATGTATGTTATTATTCGTGGTACTGTTTAATCAAACTCAAGATTATTTATTTATTTTTTTTCCTACTAGGATTTGCCGAGGTGTAAATTAAGCCTGGAATAGTCGCAGCTCCCCAGTGAGAAAACAACAGAAGGGCCGTGAAGATCAGCCCTAATGGAAGAGACAGAAACAGTGCTGACCTGCTCCGAGCAGGACGCTTTAGGAGCAGACTTCATCACGGTGGAACTTGACACCCAGCCCATCGAATATGTGGTCAAGTGGGCCGAGGTGGGCTCGAAATTCACTATAGCCTGTGTGAAAAAGGATTTGGACGAGGCTGCCTGCTTCACCTCCGATCAGATAGTCAAAGTGGAACCGGACGAGACGTTCTTTGTCCCTTACGAAGCGGTGTACCCAGAATGTGACGAGGCAGATCCAGATTGGATTGCGACGCATGAGGAGGAGGTGGGCAGCGAGTCAGACTTCAACGAGAACAACACAGAAGCGGGGAATAGCCAGTTTTGCGAAGAAGTGGACGTTTCGGATGTCTGCTGGGAGAAGGAGGTGTCTCATGCTAGAACGTATAACTGCCGCTTCTGTGGCAAGAGCTACAGCCATTCCTCCAGTCTTGCTCGCCATCTGCATGTGCACTCGGATGGATCGTCCTCTAAAGATTTCAGCAAGTTGTGCGACAACAAAAAGTCTCTCCAGTGCAATCTATGCGGGGTGCGGTGCAACGGCAAGCGGCTTTTGGCGATACACAAGAAATGCCACAAAACCAAGAGACTGCACACATGCGACACATGCGGGAAATCGTTCAATCACAGCTCGAGTCTGTCACGGCATCGGTTGATCCACAAAAAAGGCCTGGATAAGGACGTCAGACCGTTATACCCGACTCCAACCCCAGCTCCCATCGTAACCCAGCACAGTTTCCCATCCGGCCACGGCACGAGTAAAAGAACGGTGGAGAAGCAGTACCAGTGCGCGCAATGCGACAGAGTCTTTAGCCACTCCGCGGGACTCTCCAAGCACCAGGTGGCTCATGTGAGACAGCTGCTCAACTCGTACACACACGGCAAAGACTCCCTCGACAAGTCCTCGGACCTCAAGATCCGCTTGAAGCTCTGCTCCCGCGACAAGCCCAACTACTACACCCTGTGCAAGAAGAACAAGCACGGTAAAGGGGGCAAGAAGAGGTTGTTCCTGCCCAACGAGGAGCGGCCGTACCCCTGCCGGATTTGCGACAAACGCTTCAGCCACACCGCCAGCCTCTCACGGCATGAGCACACGCACGCCAGCAACATGTGCTACGCCTGCAACGTCTGCAGGAAGACCTTCATGCGGCTCTCCAACCTCAAGCAGCACCAGCAAACGCACGCTAAGGGAAAACTCTACAAGTGCCCACAGTGTGGGAAAACTTTCGTTCACTCCTCCAGCTTCTCGCGCCATAAGAAGGTCCACGCGGCGATGAGCCTGTCTTCGAAACAGGAAGATGTTATGTGCGAAGAGGAACTGGTCATCGATGAGGTGGCCCCGCTGGAATACGAGTCCGAGTGAGAAAGACCGAGGCTCTGGAACTGTCGAGGCTTTTCTTTTCTTTTTTTGGTTTGTTTTTGTTTACCCCTCATTCTTATTTTGTGAAATCGCAATTTGGGTGTGGCATCACTGGCTGTGTGGTTTCAATTGAATACTATTGTAATTATTATAACCCCTTTCAGGGGATATAGTAGATATAAAAAGTGTTTTTGTTTTCTTGGTTGACATTCCCTTGTGTTTTGTTCATTCGGTTTATTTGCCAGCCAAATTGTGTAATTTATGTCTCTGAAATTTTAGGTATTAACAAGAAAATCAACAGAGAAAAGCGGATGGCATTGGCAATGCAGGTGTTATTTATTTTTATTTTTATTTTTTGTTGTGCTTGCACTGAATCTGTGAAGCCAAAAGAAAGTACTTATTGGGGTGAGGGGAGAAGGTAATATTAAATTCAAGTTTGTTCGTAGGAAACCAGAGTTTTGTATGCAAGAAGTAAATTTATATGCAATTTACTTGAACGTTGTTCTATTAAGTGTGCGGTTTGAATCAGTTATTTCTCCTGTAATTATATTTAGTGACTTAATTTCTTAGACCAACAAGTTCAAGGCTTTTCTCTTCTGAAGTCTGGAGACACAAAAACAGGTTTTGCTGTTTGGTTTTATGGTATATATATAAAAAAAACTGTATACAGTTCCAGTATAAACCGCTGGACGAGTGCAAATGGAGGAGCTGTACTCCGGACTAACCAGTGTTTTGGGGTGTTTTGATTGTTCTGCATTTGACTAGTTTCCTCACCATGTTGTCTTTGGTACTTATTTCCTCTTTGATGTTCTTTTGTCAAAATATGAAATCCATTGTGTCCATGGAGGGTGTTCATAAAAAAAGAAAAGAAAAGAAAGATGCTTATTGGACACGGACATGTACAGCTGCACTTAAAATATTGTTCATATAAATTTGCGTGTGTGCACTTGAATGAATATGAGAAAAGAATATACCTGCAAAATGTGTGCTTTTTACTTCTGCTGTATATGTGTAAAAAGTTGCACTTGCAAAAATAAGTTCTATCTGATTTATTTTTCTGTATCTGCATAAGTTAAGGAATAGCCAAGGGATTTCATATTTTAACAAGCATTGCACTATTGTATTTATAGACCGAAGCACTACATATTTTAGGAAATTGGAACGCGACTTTGGATCTCCCGGTTAAAACCTCAAATGAATGAGGCACGGAAAAAATATCTTCCACGCATTTTGAAAAGTTGATCAAGTGCCCTCAGCTACTTTGTGTAAGACCAAAGCTCTTCAATGCAACACGGAAGACCTGCAGTTCAGCTCATCGAAGGTGTTTAATCAGCCTTATGTTTGATGTTCATATGCATCTGGACTTTAGCTCACCATTTGCTATCAGAATGGAAATTGAATAGCAATTGCTAACCTATTTATGGTGTTAGAAAATGAGATGTTGAGGAGTGTTGGGATGCTCGTATGAAGCACAGAAGACAACCAGAATGATGCACAAGAATTGGTACTCTCTATAGTTTTTTGAGTCCCTGGTTGTTTTTAAATATTCCCATTGTTAAAGCATAAGTCATATCCCCCAGTCGTATGGACCTTTTATGGCCATTGTTTTTAATTCTTTCCAATAATAAAAGGTTTATCGCTCTCCTGTCCACACTTCTCATGTTTAAATTTGACATTTTTCT